ATCCAAGTTTCACTGCAGGACGGTGACAATTCCTGCTTCCTCTCTAATACTTGATGGGTTTCCAATACATCTGTCCTATAATTCCTAGTATGAGAGGTCAAGAGAAAAACAACACATAGCCAGTTCTGCCCATATTACCTTATATTAAATCTAAAACAATCCCTTAAAATCACAGAGTGAGGAGGGGGGAAGGAAGAGGAGACATTCTTTAAGTCTTACCTCCAGATTTACCATAACAAAATTATGGGACAGTTCTGAAATTTCTGTAGATTCTGCAAATTTAGGTTTTAAAGCTAAGGAGAAAAAAAAGAAAAAAGATATTGCAATGACAGAAATATTATCATACCCAAATACTAATGAGTATAGACATCACCAATTCTCACTGATGGCTCAGGCATTAGCTAAGTTAACTTACAGAACTGAAACTTCTGTTAAGTCTAAAGAACTAGAATCGAGAGCTGGGGGTGTTCTTGTCTGTAAGGTGCCTGGCATTGCAAGCATGAAGGCGTAAATTCAATCTCTAGCACTCACCAAAAAAAAGCAGGGGATGATGGCATGCACTTGTAATGGCAACGTCCAGGAGGTAGCAATCCGTGGATCCCTGGGAATGGCTGCTTCCTAGTCAGCCTCACCTAACCTGGTAGCTCCAGGTTCCAATGACAGGGGCCCAGAAATATGGCTGAGTAGATAAGGGAATTACCGTGCAAGCCTGGCAACCTGAACTTGGTCCCCAGAGTCTATGAATCCACAAAGGTGTCCTCTGGCATCAGGCCACACATCATGTGACACATACAGGAATAAATAAAAGGAAATAAAAACTATGGTGGAAGACAATTGGAAAAGGACAGCCACGGTGGACTTCCAGACTCCACATGCACACAAACACACAGGTCCTCAACATGCACAATTATAACTAAAACCAAACCCTCCGGAATGCACAGTGGCACACACTTGTAGACCCAGCTACCGGGGAGACTGAGGCAGACAGGTAACCTGCACGTACTTGAGTTTAAGACCAACCTGTGCAATGTTAGTCAAACCTAACCCAATTTTAAAAGAAGAGAGAGGGAGAAAGAAGGAAGGAAGAAAGAAAGGAAGGAAGGAAGGAAAAAAGGAAGGAAGGAAAGAAAGAAAGAAAAGAAATGCCAGGTGTGGTATAACACACTTTTACTTCCAGGCTCTATACTCAGATAGTGAGTTCCAGGCTAACCTTGTCTACGGAGCAAGTTCCAGGACAGCCAAAACTGCATAGTAAGACCTTGTCTCAACAATAAGACGTAATAAGGACAAGAATTAAAAAACAAAATATAGTCATAAAACCAGAACTGGGCAGCTAGGCTCTGTCCTGCTTCTGGCACACAATGCTATGTGACTGCAACGTGCATTCCCATTTATGAAATAAGGACAAAGGGAGCTGAGTGGGACAGCACAAATCCTTAATGGAGACAACAGACAGGAGAGGATCTTGACAAAGTTGAGGCCAGCCTGGTCTACACAGTGAGACCCTGTCTCAAAAGAAAGGAAAAAATATATATTTATGGGCCGAAGAGATGGCTCAGTGGGTAAGGATGCTGGCTACCACTAATGACCTGAGTTCAATCCCTATAACCTACACAGAAGACTCCCACAAGCTGTCCTCTGACCTCCACACACTTTTATAAAAGCAAAGAATTATAGCGTGTGAATGCACATGTCCTGTAACACACGTGGTCAGAAGACAGCTCAGTGGGACCAGTTCTCTTTTAGCTTTCTGTGGGGTTCCAGGAATCAAGCCCAGAATGCCAGACTCGTGCAGCAATGTCTTTTCACAATAAGCCATCTCACTGGCCCCCCCCAGTTTGCTTGTTCACAACATTAGCAGTCGGTGGGGAGAAGCTGACCTCGACTGGGGGCAAGGCTCAGTAAAGTGCTTGTTTGGCACTCACAGGGCTCCGGCTTAGATTCCAAGCACTCGGGGGTAGTGGCACACGCTAGCAATTCCAGCACTTGGGAGATGGAAAATCAAAAGTTTGAGGTCATCTTTTAATTCACAGTGAGTGTACTATTACCCTGTCTCAAAACAAAACACCATACAATAAATATAGATAGAATGCTGGGCCAGATCAATGGCTCAGGGGTTGAGAACACTTTCCTGCTCTTGCAGAGGACCTGAGTTTGATTCCCAAGGTCCACAACTATCTGTAACTCCAGTTTCAGGGGATCTACCCTCTTCTGCCCTCTGAGAGTACCAAGCATAAGTGTGGTTCACATACATACATGCAGGCAAAAAACACTCATATGTAAAATATAAACAAATAAAATGGGTACTAAAGAAAAATCAACTAAAATAAAAAAGCCAAGTGGTGGCTGTGCATGCCTTTAATCCCTGTTCTGGAAAAAACAAAAAAGAAAAAAAAATATGTATATATATATGCACGATAAGTTTAAAAAAAGAAAAAAAGCTGGGCATGGTGGTACACACCTGTAATTCCCAGAACTCAGGGAAGCAGAAGGTAAGCAGATCAGATCGCTTTGAGATCAAGGCCAGCCTGGTCTACAAAGCAAGTCCAGGACAGCCAAAGCTACATAGAGAAACCCTCTCTGGAAAAACCAAAGAGGGGGGTGGGGGAAGGAAACAAGGTCTGTCGGTAGAACCCATGCAACTATCTTCTAATTACGATCACGTGTGTGGGGTTAGTATATTTACATGAATACAAGTGGTCAGAGGTGGCAGGTGTTAGATTCCCCTGGAGCTGGGGTCACAGGCAGGGATAAGTCACCTGACATGGGTGCTGGGAACCAAGCTCAGGTCCTCCGGCAGAGCAGTATGTGTGTGCCCTTAACCACCAAGCCAGGTCTCTCTAGCCCCTTTTTTGAGACAGAGACTCATTCTGTTGTCCGGGGTATCCTCAGACTCCTGAGTGCTGGGATTACAGGCATGAGCGGCCTGCCCAGCTGCACTTCTTTTTAACTAGGATCTTCCTGGTTGTAGCTGTGTCCTACTCACTGGTGACACACAGGCAAAAGACTCCAGTAAAAATGTCCTCCAGTTCTGACTGGTTCTCTCCTCCCCGAAACCAGCTATTGTTCCACTGCACAGGACTCCAGCTTCTGCTGTGACGGACTGTCCATGACACTAAGACATTTAACTCCACACTCTATGTAACTGAATCTTAATACTCTCAACTCCGCTCACACACCGGCAGACACTGCAGACTTGTAAGGGAGGGAACGTGTGGAGCACTTCCTGCGTCTTGCTCAAGGCAATCAGCAGTGCTTTGCCAGCGTCAGTCAGCACTAACACTTACTACACGTCTGAGGCCTGGCCTTGGGAGGAAACACTCACCTTTGCATGCTCCACACCAAGACTTATGGATGATCACCATCAGCGGCAAGCCACTGAAAAACAAAGAAACTGTGTTCCAATAAAACTCTTCAAAAGTACTCTAGAGCAAAACAATCGGTTCACTGAGTCAAAGAGTAATGCACAGGAACTTACAACGAGAACTGTAACAAACCAACTACTTAAGCCACAGATTGTTATCAGAAAAACTACAGTAAGTGCTGATATTTCTGTAATTTCTACAAATTTGGGCTTTAAACATAGGGAGAAAATGAGGTAGAAGGAAAACATCAAATCAACTATTTTAGATGTTATTGTATGTCCAAATGATTACTATTTCATAATTATTAAAAGTGTAAATAAAAAAAACCTTCATTACTATGCTAAGTACAAAACTACGCTATAAAATCCTGGACAGGGCCAGGGAGATGGCTCAGTAGGTAAAATGCTTGCTGTAGAAGCATGACGGCTTGAGTTTAGATCCCCAGATCTTAGTCACCCTCTCCACCGCAGTTAGACTTTCTGAGCCAAGTGTTCTCAGCTGTCTTGACACCCCCTATGTGACACACAGACTATGACTGACCCCCCACCCCAGCAGTTGCTATACACCAGGGCTGGTCTACATGATCAGCTGTGGTTAGGTAAGTGTAGGGCAAACCAGCTCACCTTCCGCCTAACAAGCTGAATGGACTGACTCAGGCCTCCGGGATTACTTAGTAAAGGATTATAAACCACATGAGAAAAACAGGCGTAGATGGCAGGATCCAGGTGACCATAACTAGTGTGTTGAATGTGACTATTATGTGCCAAATATTTTGTAAGCCTAATACTATAGCCTCACAATCAACTCTAGAAACTTCTTTTTAGTTAGTTATGCTCCGGGCACAGTGACACACATCTCCGCTGCCAGCATTCTGGAGGCTGGTTTCTGAATTCGGGGCTAGCTTGATCTACAGTGAGCAGGCCACCCAAGGAGATGTGGCAAGATCCCTCCCCCCAAACACACAATAAATAAATATTTTTCTATGTGTGCACGCGTGTGTGTGCACCCACACACACTCCGGAAGGGGAGGACCTAGCAAACAAGTAGGAGAGAATGCATGTATACTGTGGAGCTCAGAGGCCCTCCCTTTCATGGAACAGGCCCCAGGGATTGAACTCAAGACTGTTATGTTAGTTAGGCTTGGAGGCAAGCACTCCCGGCATTCCAGGCTACCACATCGTCCTATTTTTACTTGATTCAGGCTCTCAAACTATGTAACCTAAACTAGCCTAAAACTGGCAACCCTCCTGCCTCAGCCTCCCTGAGTGGTAAAATTATTGTACAGTGGGATTTCAAATACTTTCTCAAGCTCTTCTGAAGACACCTCCTGGCAGCCAGTTAACACTGCACAGTTCGTTCTGTGATGGCTAGCCTTCATACTATTAAGCATGTTTGCATTTCACACAACTTCTCAAGGTCAAAGATACATCTGAATCATACAGATAATGCAAATTCAGTACTTACTGTTTGTTACCAACAAAATTAAGATTATAGTGATGTTTGTCTTGAAATATGCAATAAAGCAAATCGTTACCGAATGTGGCACAATATATAAACCAAACTCTTTGTATACGATAATACATGTCTATGTAAAATATTAAGCTTCAGGGGGAACATGAAATTAAGAGTCCAGCAGACAACTTCACAAGATTTTATTAGAGGAAATGGCTAATGGTTGTCTTACACAAATATCAGTTTCCCAGGGACAGAAGATTCACCTGTGTTCGAAGCTCCAGGATAAGTAACAAGAAGTACTGTACTCAAAAATACTTGTAGTATAAAAGGACCATCGTCAATACAAAACTTATCTTCGGTTTCTTCTTACAGTCGATTTAAAACAAGTCTCTTCCATTCTGATGGAAGGAAAAGTACCCTCAAGTAGAGTCCAACCGAAGCCACTTGGTATTTCTGGACCTAGCGATTCTTCGCCTCAGTTTATGCTATATATATTCTTGGGGAACGGCAGAGAGGCAGAAAATGAGCCGGTCAAACTTAGCAACCCTAGTACTATCGTATGCTCTGCAGACCTTAGACTATTCTTTCCAGACAAAGTATAGCAGAATCCAGACAAAATGCCCACCACCACATTACTGCAAACTCTGGTTCAGATACTGAAGAAACATGTTGGCCAACTGAGGCAGGTTCTCGTTGTTGGGATGCATTTTAGTGTAGGAAATAAACTGGCGACGGAGGCGACTCAGTTCTGCCAAGGTCAAAGGCCTGGTAAATCGGAGATGTTCTGTGGTGCCAGGAAGTGTTAACAAGTCTCCGGGTACCGCGCCCTTCTGTGCTTCCATCAGAGCAGTCAACACCTGGCTCGTGGCCTGATCCAGCTGGTGTAGAAAGCTGCCAGAGGCCAGAGGCTGGGACTTCGTGGACTGATGGGGTGGGGGTGCCCGATTCTCAAACAGCGCAGAGCGGATCTCGGCCAGGGGCAACGGCTCTTCTAAACCCACCACGGTGAACAAGGGGCGATCCCAGCGGTTCCGAGAGTCAGGAGCCTCAAAGCGCAGCGCTAAGGACTCCAAAAGTTCGGGAGAGAAGGCACTGGACTTTGCAGATCTCCCGGACTCGGGGGTCCCCACAGCTGGAGGAGTGGACGGCAGGGTTTCCTCTGGATCCGGTTCCCCGGGGGCAGCGGCCGGGAGTTCCCCGTTTGCCGAGGGGCTGGCGGCGCGCTGTTCCCGCGCAGCGCCGGCCGCCTGAGGTTTCCCGTCCTCCTCGGCGGCGTCAGCCTCCCCGAGCCCGCGGCTCGGCCAGCCGGGTCGCACGCAGTAAACCAGGCAGAGCGGCGTGCGCGCGGCCCGCGCGAGGCAGTACAGCTCGTAGCGGAAGCCCTTGATGTAGTTGACGGAGTCCAGGATGACCACGTCCTGCCGGCTCAGGCGCCGCTCCACCGCGGCCCGCAGCGCGGCGCGCAGGGCCTTCTCCCCGGCAGAGTCGCCGTACACTGCCGGGTCCCGCGCGCCCAGCACCGAGGCGTCGTCCACCACGTACACGGCCCGGCCGTCGCCGGCCAGCGCCCGGCGTAGCTCTTCCGTACGCCGGCTCTTGCCGCTGGAAGGCAGCCCGCAAAACACCACGAGCGGCATCCTCTCCAGGGGCAGCCATGTGCAGACGCTCTGCGTCAGCTTCCGGCACGAACCGGAAGTAAACCCCACACTTCCTGTTTTCCTACGCTCTTACAGGGCCTTTTGTTTCTATGGGAAACGGGAACTAACCAACGTTCTCAAAAAGGAGACGCAGAGATTTGAATAGCATCAGTTGTTTACACCAAATATTAAAGGCCTCAAAATTGCACTCCGTCAGAGAACACGCCTATCTATTTATTAGGATTTAGTGGGCATTCAGCAAAATTACTAGCGCCACATTTAGCACACAGAAAGCAATTTACAAAACTGCTTCTCTATTCAGGACTTCTCCCGCACCTGGTAGGTCTTAGTAAACGTTTATTCATAACAACTATTTCAGTCAACATCTTTCCATGGCTGAGGGCAGAGATGAACATAAAACTGTTCCCCAAAAGAAATCAAGGATCCGAGCAGTCAGGGAGGCAGACTACTGTTCCAGGCCAGCCTGGTATACAAAATGAGTCCAGGCCAGCCAGACCTACCCAGAGAAACCCTGTTTCAAAAAACAAAAACAAAAAACAAAAAACGCTATGGGTAGCCTTACACTAGCGTGAAGAGCAGAAGTGAAAAAGCTGCCCAGAAAAAGTCACTGAGGTTTTTTGACTGATACTTGAATTTGTTTCTATTTGTTTGGAGATGGTGCTGTACTGGGGCCCTGTGCATGCTCTCTACCACTGAACTACACCCTCTGGTCGAATCATTTCATTTTGAACTTGAAAGACTAATGGAAATGGGTTGCCAAATACAATGCAGGTTTTCCAATTAAATCCGAATTTAAGATGATTTTTTTTTAAGTTGCATAAGCTGTATGGACATATTTAATTTTCCTTTGTGTGAAATTTAAATTTAGCTGGGCATCTTTTATTCTTACTATTGAATTTGGCAATCCTGCTGCAGAGGCTCTCATGACACTGAGAGCCCAGTGTGACCAGGCTGCGGGATCTGTTCAGCAATAAGCACTAGTCTGGTAGGTGCAGAGTGTTAAGTGTGAGCACGCCTGTGCCAGGAGTGTGGTACAATACAGGACTCACATGCTGGAGGAGAGTAAGTCTCTAAGAGAGTGTGGCAGAGAAATAAAAGTTCTGACTCTGCCACTTAATAGCAGTTTAAATGCTCAAAAGTAATCTCATTTTTCTGTGTTTCAGTTTCCTTCTCTATAAAATATCAAATTATTTCATAGTTGTTCCAATCTCAGAGGTTATAGAGACTATAAATAAACCAATCCATGTAAAACTGACAGTTCCTGGCTTCTGCCTTCTTTCCACAACTCCTTATGCTCTGGGTTGTTTGTTCATAAACTAAACCTCCCTGGAACATGACATTATTTTAGCTTTAGGCTTTAGGCAGTGTAACTCACTGACTGAGGGTACAGAGCCTACAGGAGTTGTCAAAAGCTCAGTTCTGCTAGGTACTAACTTGGGAGCTTGGACAAATTAACCATTAAGTGATTTACTTTTTCATTTCTAAAGAAAGTAACAATACTTCATGGAAATGTTGTGAAACTAAATTCATTAATTTGGATTGTTTAACACCTGGTGTACAGTAAGCGCTAAGTTTTTGTTACTGGGGAAATCATCTAGTTCTTGTGGGGCCTTCACTCGGCTCGTCATCTGAAAGCAACGCTAGGTTAACGACAAGAACGCTTGTTACTGCAAACAGCCGACACCACGACTTATACCTTGCGGCTGCCTCTTTCTTCCCATCTTCGAGAGTCCTCCAGTGAATATGGTCTCCAAAACCTAGAAGGAAAGAGCCTTATAAACATCCATACAACGAACAAAGGACATACACACAAGAAAGAAGTAAGACATGCTGTAAAAGAACCATGAACAGAGAGAGAGAAAAAAAAAAAGCACTTTCCTCTTCAAGAGCCTGGTTCAATATCCAGCGATCGCCATTGTTTTCTGGGCATACTGAACCATAGATAGTCACATTCCACAAACTTGTGCTCAGGCCTCTGAGTGGAAATAACACCATTTAAATAATGATGTGGAATGCTTTGTCAACTAGCACAAACCATGCCAACAATACTTTAAGAATGAATGGGAATGTCCTACTCAGTAAACAGAAAGAACCCTCACCGAGACGAAAAGAGTGCAGCTGTAGACTCAAAAAGACACGGGTCTGTAACTCCACGTCCCAAGTGTGTGAAGTCTTGAATGAAGCCACGTAAGTCCCAGTCTCACCATCTATAAATTCAAGACACTAATTTCTCCCTCAGATTATCAGTACAAGGAAGTAATAGTCAGGTGCACTAACTGTCTTTATTCCCACAATTCAGCCAGAACGCTCTTTTTCTTTTTAAAACTGCATTTATGTGGACATGCGTATGCCACAGCCTTCGTGTGGAAGTCAGAGGACAACCTTCACCAGTCAGTGGGGGAGAACACCTGTATCCCAGCACTCAGGTGCCGGAGGCAGGTGATCTTGGTGAATTCGGGGCCAGCCTGATCTACAGAGGGAGTTCCAGAATAGCCAGGGCTACACAGAGAAACCCTGTCTCAAAAAAACAAACAGAACAAAACAAAAAAGTCAGCCCTCTCTTTTCCACCATGTGGGTTCCAGAGATTGAACTTTGGTTGGTGGGGTTTGTGACAAGCGCCTGGACCAAATGCCTGGCCCAGCGTGATCTTCTTCAATTACATCACTGCTTAGTGAGAAGAATGTCAGAGGATATCTACCGTCCCAAGGATAAAAGGTCAACTCTTGAAGGAGACAAAGGCTTCAGTAAGAAAATGACACCTGGCTGGGTGTGTCCTAGCAGACCAAGAGCAAGCAAGAGGATCCCTGTGACTTCCTGGTCTACAAGCAAGCAAGAGGATCCTTGTGACTTCCTGATCTACACAGAGTTCCAGGACAGCCAGGGCTACAAGAGAGACCTTGTCTTAAAAACAGAACAAACAAACTGCCTTTCTTCCCAGATTGCCCTCAGCACTGAGGTGTGTGCCCAGAGGGCTTTCTTCTGACAGGGCCTGCTCTCAAACCACTCCATCCTTGCCCCATCACTACACTTCCCAGACTCTTTAGACCTCTGTGTGTCTGTTTCCTTTCCTCCAAGGGGAATTCCCTAAGTGCTGGGCCCAAACCTCTTGATCTTTCCCTGCTTCCCTAGCGCGCAGCAGACTGTTCCAAGTACTCCATACAAGAGTTCTTGAAATCTTATTTGAGCCAAATCACATAATCTTATGTTATGTCTAGGAAATGTCAATGGTTATGTTAGCTGCTATTTACTTTATTTGTCCTTTCAAATTTTCATATATGTGTGTGTGTGTGTGTGTGTGTGTGTGTGTGTATCCTCTTTTATTCTTTCCCTGCCCACTGAAGCCCTCTTCCTCATAAGTCCTCTCCTATTTGTGTGTGTCCACTTAGTTAGGGTTGCTGCAGGAGCCTAGTGGGAGGTTGTCTGCTTGAGCAAGGGTAACGTGGCAGTGCCCACACCCCTGAGGAACGACTCCTCCTCCAGCAACCACTGAGTGGTATACCTGCTGAAGGGCTCTAGCTGGCTGAGCACGCAAACGTGGCACTCATTGGGTGTGCCTTTTACCCTCCCCTCAGTTAGCCAGATACATTCCTAGCGCCAGCCACCAAGATTTAGTCTTTTATTTGGTTACTTCCTCTTCCTGAGGCTGACCACCAGGGTCCAGCCATCAAAGTATTTAGATCAGTAATCAAAAGCCCCCTTTGGCTACTCTGACTAACATGCCCAATCAAAACATCTCAGCACATCCTATCACGGGGTTTCTCCCTGTGCTACTTGCTTATGGGCCACCTGTGTCTCCTCTCTATGCAGAGGGAGTCCTTTGTCCCTCCAGGGCATATATCCCTTCCCCACCCCCTGTCCTTTGCCCCTCATCTCCCTCCTGTCTTTGTCTCTTATCCCCTGCCTTTTGTCCCTCTGGGGCAAATAAATCTCCTTTGTTTTGAGAACTCTTGATATGTTCTGTGCCAATTCCTGTCCTCCTCACAGAGGAGGGGGCCTTGTGAGGCCCTTGTGCAGGGAGCCACAGTTCATGCTACAGCAGCTATGTCACATCCAGAAGGCATCAGTTCACAGCACTGTGGAGGAATGTTAATTCAGAAAATGGCTGCTCTGGCTTAGGTCCAGTAATCCCAAACAATGAAAGTAAAGTTAGTTAGAAGAAAGCGCTCATGTTTGAAAGTGATGTTTAACTGAGTGCCAGAAAAGGAGATCCGAGGAGAGGAAAGGGAAGCTACTTAATGGGCAATGCAGAGAGAAGGGGCCAGTTTTACTGGGAGAGTGTTACAGAGAGAGGTTGAATGAAAGAACAAGCCAGAAAAGTGAGAAAGGGCCAGAAGATTAGAAGAGGCTGCAAAAATTAGTTTGAGGACAAGCAGAGCAATTCAGAGGCCTGAAAGAAAAGCTAGATTGAATAAGTCAGCTGGGAGAGGAGTTGGAGCCAGAACAGCTGAGTTTAAATAGCCAGCTCTGAGCTCAGAAAGAACAAGAAGGGGTGAGCTTATTCAGCAGTAAGTCTCAGAGGCAGAAAACATTCTAGGCCTAGGTTAGGTTATATGGAGGCCAGAAGCTTCCAGGACGAGGCTTAAGTTAGCAGACAGAGGCAACAACTGAAACAGGCGAATAAAAGCTTGATTTTACACATCACTCCTTCCCATCCTCTGGCTTTTACTCTCCTGCCCCTCTTCTGAGATGTTCCTCATATCTGCTATTATTAGCCACCTTCTATGTGTACAGCAGATTACACAAGCCAACTCATGTTGTTTTAACAATAATTCCCCTCTTTGTATTTCAGTTTTCTCAGGACTCAAATGGGTGTAAAAATTTCTCTCATAAGGTTATTGTTGAATTGTAATAAAATGTTAACATAGTCTTAGTGTATAGACATCAGTATGGAGTAGCGTTTGCTTTTCTTTACAGATGAGGCTCCGAGGCTCAGAGAAGCCAGTCAGCTATACCAGGTCACCTCACTGTTAAATAACCAACCTGGGATTTAACATCCAGCCTTGTGCCTTCTCTTTCTTTCTTTTTCCCTTTTGTTTTGTTTGTTTCTGGTTTCAGAGATCTGGTTCTCTGTGTAACCCCGGCTGTCCTAAAACTTGTCCCACAGACCAGGCAGAGATCCGCGTGCCTCTGCCCCCTGAGTGCTGGGATTAAAGGTGTGTGGCACCACTGCCCAGCACCTTGTGCCTTTTCAGTCACCCCATTTGTCTTTCAGAAATGTATTCCCCCAAATGAATAACATCTAATTGTTATCAGTGTTCTTCCAAAGGGAAAGAAAAGCAGTATCCAAGCTAACCACCACAGTCTTTGAGTCTGGACAGCACTGCCAACAGGGAGGGGGGTGTGTCACCTGCCTAAGGCCCAAAGTTTGATCCTGAGGAGTGAACAATTGAGAGTGAAATTGGGAGGATGCCCAGGAGAACTGGAAGGTGCTGAAGGTGTTAGTCATCACTTCACTCGCAAGCTCAAACCTGGCCAATCGGATCCTGCTTTGTCAACAAGCAAACTAACCAGCCTGAAAAGAAACCCACCCACAGAACAATGAAATCCCAGATAAAACAACTTGCAGAATGGACTCACGGCAATAATGGAAACCCATCCACAAACACAAGGTAAAACAACGGCAGCAGAGCAAGCAAAGGTGAGGTCGCTCACGCCAAGAGCAAACATCTGCTGTGATGTGACAACGTGGACACAAGCCTGAGGCTCTCCCAAGTGCACTTCACCCTGTCAGGACCAACACTGTGAGTTCACCACCACAGGCCCACAAACTAAATGATCAGAAGCAACACAGCTAGAAAATAAACGATCAGAAGCAAGACAAGGAGGATCTTAGGGACCAAGCTTATCAACCACAGACCCAAACAACTACACATCAAGTGTTTAGAGAAACAGCTCATGTGGGTGGCCCACATCTGCAATCCCAGCATACAAGATGTGGAGCCAGGAGAGTCATTAAATTTAAGGCCGTTCTTGGAGTCATACTAAGGTTTTGAGGTTTGAGGCCAACCAGCCAGGGATTCATCCAATTCTGTTTCAAAATCAAACAGACAGACAGACAGAGAGACAGACAGAGCCCGGGCAGAGGAGTTTTCTCAGGTAGTGAAGGGCTTGCTGTGCAACCATGAGGGCCTGAGTGTGAACCCCAGCACCCACCTCACACAGGCCTGGGTCACTAGCAAGCTATTTTAGAATGCTACGATGCCCTGTCACATACAGGTTCTTACAGCCTGACTGTGCGTGATGTCTCTCCCTGTAGATGTTGAAGTTCTAATCGCCAGTATTTTATGACTGTGTTTGAGGATACGGTCTTTAAAGAGCCAATGAAATTTTGTGTTTTAGCTCCATGAGGGTGTCAGGAGCCCTAAGACTGGAGTTACAGGTAATGTGGGTGTAACTCACAGGCTGGCCTCAAACTCAGAGATTTGCCTGCCTCTACCACCCAAGTGCTGGGATTTAAGGCCTGCACCACCATCCCCAGGGTCCTGATTTTGGAGAGAGCTGATAGCTGTGAACAAGCAGAGACTAACCCGGCCGACATCTTGATTTTGGTTTCAAACCTGCAGAATCAGCAATATAAATTTCTGTTGTTTAAACCATCCAAGCTAGGGCTGAGGAGACAGCTCGGTTGGTGAGCTGTTTGCTCCACAAGCATGGAGAGCCTAGTCCCATCTCCAGGATCCACGTAAC